GCATCACAGGCTTCGAGAATTCCACTTAATGCGTAATCCGCATGATAAAGCCCTTCTTTCGGTGGCAAGAATTGTGCAACCTTACCTTTGGCTTCTAATCTATGCATGACAGATTTTTGGGTGATGTAAAATGCGCTGCATCACAACTTCGCACAGTTCCAGACCCAGACATATTCGCACCCGATAAGCAGCCTGTACTTTTGCATTGAATGTAGCCATGATCGCATCCTGGGTAAAAACGTTCCCACTCCATATTTGCGTAGTCCCCAGCAGGGTGATTCTCATGTTCCATTAGAAACGCTGTCTGTAGGACTTTGTCATGCCATCATCGGGATAAGGCAATCGCGATCGTCGATTTGCGACGCGGCTGCACGAACTAACCAAGCCTAGTACACTGCGGCTCCAAGGCAGGCTGCCCTGCGCAACGGCGAAATCTTGTTGTGATCAAATTTCCATCGCTCTTGATTACTTATGGTGTGGGGAGGCCGTTTTTGCAACTGAGGATACGTCGAAGCACGTATCTTCGGGGTTGTCTACATCCGGCCCCACCGCCGGGTCGCCTCCTTCACAGCTGCACTCGTTCTGCACTGCTACTTGCGTTCCCGCAGCTGCGTCGTGGACTATGAAGTGCAAATATGTCTGGGTCTGGACACCTGTGATGCTGGGCGGCGTATCATGAGGAGGCCACAAGTGCTGGCTCAGCATGACAAGTTTCTGAGCTTCTTGGTGTTGCCTATTCTGCATGACAAACTGCGTTTCTGTATGACAGAAAAATGAGGGTCTTGGGCAGTGTGCGTGACAAATGAAAATTTAAGAGTCATGTGAGACAAGCATGACAAACTTGCATTCTTCCAGACCCAGACATTTTTGCACTTGATATGGACGAGGTGATAACCATAGTCCACCTCGGTGCAGAATTCACTGTTCTCCGCCGGACAATATGCATTGCAAAAGTACTATCGCACAACTCTAGTACAACTTAAATGGCATGACAAATCGGCTCAGCATTAGAAAAGAAATTAGTCCACCAAAACGCTGGCTTTGCTATTTAGGAACTAGATTTGTACCGCATGATGCGTGCAATTACTTACTACGAGTGCGATACTTTTGCACAGATTAGACAAGCTGCCCCGGTGGCCGGCGTCTTACCCCCAGGGCTGGTGCATTGACATTCCCGTAGCTTGCAGCACGTGCCCTGGTCGGGGTCGGTGGCCGTGTTACAGTTTTGCCGTTTGCAAAATTTAGCTGCGTTGGCGGGGTTGTAGGCCTTGCCTAGGTCTAGACTTTGGTTCGCGGGGTCCTTCAGGTTCCGACAGTGCTGATTGCTGCCATCCGCCTGCGTGCTGCTGCACTTGGCCGTGGCCTGGCAGCATATTGCGGCATCATCTTGTCGGGTCGCGGCTGTGGGTGCTGTTGCTCCGATCTTGCCGCAAATCGGACTTTTGCACCCGTTTCTCAAAATGAAAAAACCCCCCTTCGTACTGTACTTAGACTGAGATCTTTAGAAAGCAGCATTTTCGATGTACAAGTACACAAATCATCTTCATCACTCGGTATTGTTTGAGGCCAGGCATGTTGCGAGACAGATGGTAAGCCTGCGTAGCGAGTGCAGTTCTTGTTCCTCGGCAAGACACCTGCTTGTGCGATAGTCCAAGCAACAACGAACAGGAATAGCCCAGAAAAAGCAAAAGAAAACCCTGGCTCTCGTATCTTTATGCAATACAGATTTGTGGCGCACACAAATTGCGCATCGCGTGTCTCTATGGATTGTAAAAATGTCTGGGTCTGGAAGATTCTGATACTTTGGTTGGTTGGTTGGATAGCGCCTGTCGCCGGTGCAGGTCCCGCCCTCCATCGATTGCGATCCGGAGTAGCCGGAACACAAGGCCCTAGTGGCACAATCGATCGACGAAGCCCTTTATAACCAGGCCACGGCCATCCGGCTGCCCTGGAGTCATTCGCGGGCCCGGCAACGTCTAGGAGCTACGGATTAGGGATCTTGATGGGCGAGACAGGTCACAGTCATCCGCCTGCCCATCGAAGACGAGCCAGGTCACAGTCATCCAGCTGCGTTCACAATACGAGCCAGGTCACAGTCATCCAGCTGACTGCATAAGAACGTCCCCGGCAGCAATCATCGAAGTGAACCCATGGGAGGAGTCGGGAAATGCCAAAGACAGGAATCCCCTGACACACCCACGCCAACTAAACCCAGTAACCACATGTGACGACGTGGGGAAAGGGAGGGTAGACCCCGACTGGCCTACGAGTAAGCCTGATCGCTCCGCTGCGTGTTATTTTCCCGGGCAAATTTATTTAGACTGAACCCCGGGCACGCCACCCGGAGACGGACGCAGTCCAGTTTTTACAAAGCTCCCGCATAGCGGCTATCTAAATGGGGCGGGGTCAGTCGTTCACCGAATGGCTCTCGCGAAACAGTGACCAGTGGACCCCATGCAAAAAAGCCTCTGTGGACTGCCCCTCTTTCTTTGCGCTAAGACCCGTTTAAGCTAATATCTACTTAGTGCGCTGCTACTACTGCCGCCTGCTACTACTGCCGGGCTGTGGCCCCCCGGCTTGCCGAAGACGAATGGCTTGGGGCCCCCGGCGGTTTGTTCTTTTTGGCTTTTGCTAGTTTTTGCTTCTGGGCCGGGTCCCGTCGGCTTTCGTTCCGCGGGCACTGCCGCGGCGCTGCTCGCTCATGCTGCTCGCTCATGCTGCTCACTCCTCCGCTCTCTCGCCTGCTCTCTCTGCGCCATTCTTTCTTCTAAACGCGCTCATGCATTCTGCATAACAGTCTACTTGTCATGCACGTGGTTTTGCATGAGCCATGATGTCGGTGATGCATGCCCTAGCTTCACAGATTTTTTGAGGGCTTCTTGATGCCTTTTCCGCATGACAAAGGCCGTTTCCGCGTAGCACAATTTGCGTTCTCTTTGCTGCTCATGCAATACAGATTTTTTTGGAATCCAAGTTCAGCATCACAAGTTTCATTCTTCCAGACCCAGACACTTTTGCATTTGATAGTTTCTCACTGGGCATGTGGACGGGGAGTTTCCCTCACAATACTGTCGTTGGCTTTGTTAGACGAGTAGTACCAGCCTTTGTCTGGACTGGACCTTTATCCACTGCAACTATAATGCGTGGGTCTGAGAGAGAGGATGCAAGATTCGTAAAAAATGTCGAACTCCTATGCTCTTGAACTGCGTTTATTGTGTTTCGCGCATGAGCATCGCTTCGGGTCCGGTGTTGTAATGCAAAAACGCAGATTTTCATACGCGTATACTTACGCATTACAGGACCGTTCAATGGTCAGTCGTGCTTGGCTACGTATTTCGGCCAGAAGAAGTTCCTCTCTCACTCCTGCTGTATTTTAGCATTTATAACTTTCGGACCCAGACATGTAATTTGCAATGCGTAAATTTTCGAAGCAAAATCCAGCAGAGACGTCGTCTTCGTTATTGCGGGCACTGCATTTCTCGTGGCACACTTCAACGTCTGGACAGTCACAGGTCTTTTCATCTTTCTGTAACCCTGACACGCATGCGTAGCACGCGCTACTGCTGCTGCTGCTCGGCTTGGGGTTTGGCCAATACTTCAAAGCGGCACAGGTGCTAGTGGAGCTCGTGATGCCGCTGCCACAGATAGCGCCGTGGCCCCACTTGCAGCTGCCTGGGCCTTCTGTTTTTTTATCAAAATGAAAAATTGTGCCTCCCCATATCAAAATGGACATCTGCGGCGCGGGATTTGAGTACACAGCTCCGCTTTGTCTTGCATTAAAGGCCTGCAGGCAGATGCAAAGCCTGGAAAGGGGTGGCCTGAGAGAGGCGCTTAGCATGGCAAACGTCTGCTCTGCCCTGTTGGCGCAGCAACATTACAAATTGCCAGCGAAATGCGGCGGAGAGTCTGGCTTTGCTCTCTTGCAAGACAGACGCGATTTGTGAAAACAAATTAGCATCACAAATTTTCAAAAGCATGCCGTTCCGCTTTGGGAAGGGCGGGGGATTCTTCCTTACGGTATTCCCTATACTTTTCGCAGGAGTAATTTTTGTCGTAGTTCTCGTTAGTGGTGCTGCGGGGGCAGCAGGTTTTTTTGCAGTCTTCGTCCTCCTCAGTGGAGCCAGTCGCACAGGTCCAGCTTCCTATGCCGCAGATTTGGCGAAATATGCTAGTATGCAACTACTTTCTGTGCCGGATTATACGGGAAACCTGTAAAAATGAAAATTGTAGTGCGCACCGCGGTGGTAGTGGTTGCGGTACCTAGGTGGCCATGGCCAGGGGTCCTGACCACACACCAGACTTCAGGACGACGAACTACATGTATTTGAAACTAAGTAGTTACCACCCATGCGCAGGTGCTGCGAAAGGTCAGACTAACAAGACCTCGCTTGTCGTCACGTGTAGCATGGAAAACCGAAACGGGCAGCCTTCATCGAGTGAAGTGCTCTTGGGTACTCCACAGACCAGTATTTTCCTGTTTCAGACACAGGAGATTTGTGCAATCCCATAAATGGTCGGGTCTGCTCGAGTTCCGTGTAAAAAACACCATCCTTGTCCCACATGTCAGAGCACGACCAATAAGAGCCAGATTCCGGCGGTGTCTGGGTTCGCGTTCGGGTTTGCGTTCCGACGCCGCAACTTGTGCTACACGGGCCGCAGTATCAAGTGCAAGAATGTCTGGGTCTGGAAGAATACACACTGGCGATGCGCATTTCAGAACACAGAAAAATCTTTCATGCATAGGCAGCAAAAGTTGCCCACTTTCTGTCACCAAAGCGGGGGATTTGTCATGCGGATTCGGCATTGCGGAACCTTCTCGAAACCTGTGATGCTAGAGCTTCCATGCCAGACCTTCTGCGTCATGCAAAAACAGCATGACTCTTCCAGACCCAGACATTTTTGCATTTGATACCCAGTCGCTCCATTCGGACACCCGACAGCCGCAAGGGGGATAGTCGCAAGTTCTCCTCTCTGTCTGCTTGGTAGTCGTTCGGCCGCCTACATGGCGTCTTCGCGATCCGCAACCACCGAAACCAAGATCTCCGGGGCAATAATTTCTGGCGTCTCGTTTTCGAATCCTTTCTTTCTGATCCACCTGGTCCTTTCCGCATACGCCTTCCTCGGGTAGCGACTTATCCCAACTTTCCCAGCCTGTCCATTCCTCGTGACTGTAACACGGGTCCTTGTCAAATAAACCAACAACTTTACATTTGCCCCGTGCCGGCTGCCAGTCCGAGTCCGTCGTGCTGGTTGTGCAAACTGCTGCATACGTGGGCTCGTTTACCCCGTGCTGCGCCACGTCAACGGGGCTGGTGGAACAAGGCACTGAGGAAAAAGATGACGCAGCGGCTTGGTCGTCCCTTGGCACCTGACGCGCGACCGTCAATCCGAGGACTCGCTTGCTCACGTTTGCTTCTGTTGCTTCCTGCGCGCTGCGAAGAGGCTCCTTCTGCAGCCCGGGTTGGTCGGCTTGCTGGTCGGTCTCGAGTACGAACGGACCGCTAGGCATGTGTTCCAGGATCCTGGGGGGATCCTCGATATCGTCCTCGCCGGTGTCGTCCCCGCCGATGTCGTCAAGCGCAGGTTCGAATCGTATCCTATGCAAAAGCATCGCACTCGTGGTAATTGCAATAAGTGAACTACATGACTGTGGTGCATCTGCGTCCTTTCCAGAATCGAAATCCATTTTCACGCTGAGCAAGTTTGGATGTACACAAATATGCAATTTTCGCTGCCAGTGCGATGTTTTTGCAACCAATGCACAGCTACCTCGAAGTCATCCTGCGAATTTTCCTCGCCGTGGTCGTCCTCACTCGTGCCGGCTGCGTCTTCTATCAAACAGAAAAGCTAAGGCACGCGATCCATACCAAACGCTACATTTTTGTCGCTGAAAAGCTCTGTCATGCGGAGACCACAGGCGGAGACCACAGGACAGGCAATCTTCTGTCATGCAGAGTGCAGTTTGGAATGCGTTGTGGCGGTTAGACTGATGGTCATGTGTCTAACTTAAACAGATGGCTCCACAATCAAAAACTTTTATCATGCTCAGCCATAAAAAAAGATCCACTTGTGGCACTAAAAGCCGCGACGTACTTAGACGGGAGTCAAGACAGCTAAAACTAAAAGAAACTATACAGCACAGAGGACTAAATACTTTCTGGTATGCTGAGTGTACATTTCTGTCGTGGGATCATATCATCTTCGTCAGCCCCCTCTTCGGGGGAATTTTCTCCGTGGTCTACCGAATGGCCGTGAAGCAAGCGTAAATCATGCGTCCTCTCCGTTGGAGGTGCAAGATCTACCTGCGCAGCTGATGGCCTGTGGCTCTTCCCCCTTGATTTGGCGCTCTCAAGCGTTACATTGATCGCTGTCATATGGCTGCTTGTTGGTTTGTCATGCAGAACCTGTGTCACTGGCGCATCTTGATTCTGCATGATCTAGCTACCTCGAATGACAAGTCTCCAACGCACGGAACGGCATGGAAATCCGCTCCGAACAACGTGTCATGCTGGAAGCGCTATCCTCCTCCTTTGCCTTTCGCGCTATCTAATCTTGCATCACAAAGCAAGCAAAAGTCAAAGTCATTCAACAGCGATCAAGGCAACGTTTCAGAACGCCGTCGCCATAATTGCGCCAGGTAGTTGGCGCTCCACTGCGACTATGAGTTTGCCACCGCTCTCTGTATGCGGTTGGGGGCTTCGTGGCGGCTGCTTTACTGCGAACGATTCCTGCCGTCTACCGCTTGCGCTTGCATCAGGAGGTTCCTGTTTCTTAGCTGGAAATGCATCCCGACTATGCTCCTCATGTTGAGGTCGTTGTGCATCGTCCGCAATCGGTGTGGTTGTAGTCTTTGCAGTAGCGTCTGTATCTTCGAAACCCTCTGCGCCACCAATATGCACACATACAAGAGCTGTAGTTGCGTTTCTCATACTTCAGCATTGCAGACAAAGACACACTGCAATGGAAAACAATTGCTGCAGGAGCCTTGAGTTGTGTCCTCTTTCAAACTCAAAAAATGATTTTTGAAATATACAAATTGCGCTGTTTCCACCTGGAGATAGTTCCGTCATGCAGAGACTTGCAATTTGTACGAAGCTGAAGCACTTGTTTGTTGAATATTACACAGGATACGCAGGAAGAGAATCTGCTGTTGAGGGTGACATCGGTCGCCGCGGCTCATTATCATCATCACGATCCTCGCGACGGATCACGTGACGGCCACTTGTGAAGACGGATGGCGCGTTTCCTCCTCCTTCGCCTGCTCGTGTCTGGCTTGCATTCGGTGCTGCAAGCTGGTCTTGTTCCCCCCACTCTTCGCCGCGGACCTCAGCGACCAGCGGCCCCGGTCCTTTTGCTGCGGTTGATTGTGAATCCTCTTGCGGCGGCTGCACATAATCGACGTCTCCGTCGGCGAGAAACAGAGACTCACCCGTGCTGAAGTTGCGCGGAAGTAAACTACCGGGGGAGTCAACCAGCTTTACTGCATCTCCGGTTACGTTGCCTTCGTGCAGCGCTTGAGGCGTCAGAGGAGAAGAGGAAGTGTTCGCAACCGTTGCGAGGTCTACCCCACGACCTGCTGCAATTTCTGTGTGCCTCTCGCGAGTGGAGTGCAACGCTGTGGCATTCTTGTCAGGCGTTTCTGATGCTGCACTGGGAGTGGCTTGTTGCGGGTCCTGCGCCGTTGTAGTAGAGGCCGAGGAACTGTTGTTCGTCCCGGAATAAATAGGACCTCGATCATCGCGCGCAGGAGAGCCGGAGGTGTCCGCGTCTTTAGTTTCCCGCCGGATGACGCGTCGCGCCCCTATCACGAAGGAAATTGAAGTCGCAGAAAGGCAGGACCGCTGGAAAGCAGAAAAACGCCAGTGGCTGTACAAGTGGACGAGAAGGCAAAACAGAGGGACGGAGCCCGTTCCTGCTGTTTTGAAAAACAACCGCATCTTCTTTTATTCTGTCATTTTCACACAGACATGCTGACGAATGCTCATGCGGCGCACGAGACAATTCGAAAAGACATTTCTGTTTCGACAAGAACAAATAACTGAGGGTTCAGGATCTAAGGTGACCAGCAGTGCGCAACCTTCTAGTATCGCAGGATAAAATCAAATTGACATCATCAAAATTGCGATAACATTCTGAAACGACCGGCTAGGGGTCTTCGAACACACCCGCTTGCCTGTTCCAGCGACAAAAGTTTTTTTGCTTCGCGCGCAACGGGTGGGCATCGACACCGTCGCCGGAGCTTCACTTGCAAGGCATTTTGTATGGTTTGAGAATCTCAATGTGTATTTGAATTTGAGGTGAAAGCATGAACAATTTCTTTGCGTTTCTTTTTGAGACCCGTTCTGTTCTTTTTTCGTGAGTGCGTCGTGTCGTTCGGATGCAATGAATCACTAAGCTTAGGCAATATCACCGCTCGGTTTCCCTTTCCTGTGCTGCCGCCACCTTGTTCAGCAGATTCAGAAAGTGCTTCTGTAGTATCGTTTTCTGGGCTTTGGTGTAGACTGGGTACCCCGTCCTCGATTGGTGGCCTGTGGGTGGCACCATAACTCCCGTTCCGGCGCGGCGTCGTGGCGGCACGGGTAGGGGTACCGGGGTTGCTAGATAGTCGTCGCTTTCTTCTATCATCTCCGCAGGATCGTTCATCTTCGTGTTGCCAGGGACGACGTGGTCGACGACTGCGGTGCGAGGTGGGAGGCTATGGTGGAAATATGATGATTCTTATGATAGTGCACAACTCCAGGGCGTTCTCATTGAAAGGTCGGGCGGGTGTAGTAAGTACTGCTTTAGCTTTGGCCGCTTCTTCCGGAGTTCGTCATGCAAACAGTGCTCTGAGGCTGAGGGGACGGCAGCAGCGGGATTTGGCTGTATTTATTGATTTGCATGTTGACAAATGAAAGGGGGAGAGCGGATTTTGCTGTGCACTCTCATAGAGACGAAAAATTTTCTTCCTCGTCTGCAAAGCGTTCCTCTGGTTCTTGCATTTCATCTTCTTCTATCAAACGCAAAAATGTCTGGGTCTGGAAACTTGTGATGCAGGGTGGCGTCTCATGATGAGGCCACAAGTGCTGGATTAGCATGACAAGTTTCTGAGGGAGCTCCTCGGTGTTGTCTATTCTGCATGACAAACTGCGTTTCCGCATCACAGAAAAATGGAGCTCTTGGGTAACGTGCATGACAGACTTAAGAGTCATGCCAGACAAGCATGACAAACATGCATTCTTCCAGACTCAGACATTTTTGCACTTGATATCTTCGGCCGCGTAGCTTCTTCGCTCTCCGGGATGCGGTATGGCTCCGCTTTTCCGTGTTTCCTGCATGTATTCCAGCCTCTCAGGGTTCTTCAAGAGCCACGGCGCTAGGTCCAGTTGCGTTAGTTTCGCGTTCGTGTAGGACCGACGGCAGGTGTAGACCAGGCAGGAATTCTTGCTGGGAAAGAACGGGGGTTCCTGTACGACCGTGGGGGAGGGTTGTCGAGAAGTAGAATGGTTGTCCCGGTCTCCTTATCAAATGCAAAAATGTCTGGGTTTGGAAGATTACCACGTTTGTCATGCATATTTTGAATGACCCATGATGTCTATGATGCATGCCCTAGCATCACGGATTTTTAGAGGACTTTGTGATGCGTCTGCCGCATGAGAAATGCCCTCTCCGCGTAGCACAGACAGGAGTTCTCTTGCTGGTCATGCAATACAATTTTTTTCTGAATCGTCCATGGACAGCATTACAAGTTTAGAACCTTCCAGACCCAGACATTTTTGCATTTGATACTCCTCTCACTTCCCCGTCGTCCTGGTGCAGCTGCAGTGCTGCACAGGCCTGATTGGTCGAGCGGAAAATCTTGGTGCGCGCGTGCTCGTATCCTACAGAAAAATAAGTAGACGGGTACAACCAGATGAAACAAACCCCCCTTTGTGCCTGGTTCATCAGTCGTGCCACTCTGCGTTACAGAGTGGCACTGATGAACCGCAAGGGCAAAAAAGCGGACACCACAAGGGCAAGACAAGGAATTTTTGGGTGACTGCAGTTTGTAAAAAAAGTGTGAAAGGACTTCTTGTTGGAAATAACGTCGAATATGGTACCGGTGCAGTACTACTTTTCTGTGTGATAGCTCGAAGTCCTCGAAGTCCGTGTCTGGTTGCCAGAAGGAAGCACGTTATCACACAGAAAAAAGTAGCACGACATATCTGCAGTGAATCGAGAATGTTGAGTCCTGTTATGGGCGAGCGGACAACGCGGTACCATCTCAGACTTTGTGTACTCTTTATTTTTTTGCACGATATACAAATGTCTGTGATGTGCTAGCTTTTTTCCGTGCGATATGTGTAGATCTACTCCCGAGTTGAGAGCACTAGATTCTTCAGCAGCTGCAGGAAAATTGTCCTGATGTATTCTGTCCCCATCCTCGCTGCGTGGCCCGGAAGCGTATGCCCCACCTCCATCTCGGCGTTCCGTCTCCGTCGTGCCACCGCTTCGGCAGACGTGCCGGTGCTCGTGCTCGTGCGTCACTTGGGGCGGGACGTCGTCGTCGAAGTTTTCGCTGTTTTGGTCCGCGTAAAAATCCGACGCAGAGTGCCCATTTACCTCTTCCGGTGCGCCAGCTCTACTTCTTTTTGACCGCGGACCGGCATTTCCATTTTCTTTTGCACCACCAGCCGTGGGCCCACTGCTTCTAGATGAAGTGGCAGAGGCCTTGGTTTGCCCTTCTGCGCCGGAGGTGCTCCCGCGCGCGGTGGGTCGGTAGAGCGCCGTGAGTGGGAAAACGTGACATGAATTCTTTGTTGTCGTCTCGGAATCGACGTCCACCACTGCATGATCATTTTCAATAACAGAATCCTGATCGTTCTTCTTCTGAGCTGCAGGAGGCTCCTGATGATCTACTGCGTCGCGCAGGAGCCGCTGCTGACGATCCACGACCTCCGCAGTAGACGATGCTGACTTATTGGCGCTTCTACTCATTCTATCGAAAATCGTTCCACCGCTGGCCAACCGCCGAAGAAGCCCTGGACAGCGGGACACGGTCACCGAAGGAGCCCGGGCCAAAGCACTATTACTTGCTCGGCGACCCAGCGTGGGTTTGATGTCTTCTTCTTCCGCCTGGCATGCAAAATTTTGCTCATCGTCAAAAATATCTTCGGGAGTTCGATGAAAGTCATCTGGTTCTACTGAGCGTTCATCTCCTCCGTGCTGCTGGTCCAACGCTTCAAACACGGCGAGGTGGTTATCAAAAGGAAAAATCCCCCCACCCCATATCGAAATGGAAATCTGTGATGCGGGATTTGTGTACACAAATCGGGTCTGTCTTGCAGTAGAGGACTGCAGACAGATACAGAGCCGGACTAGGGCTGTTTTGGCGTAGGCGCCTAGCAAGGTAGGGACATTCTCTGCAGGCCAGACAGCATCACAAATTGCCTGCAGAACGCGGCGGGGTTTTTTCTTTGTCTTCTTGCAATACAGAGACGATTTGTGACCTCAAATCAGCATCACAAATTTTGAGAAGTGTCCCGCTCTGGTATGGGGAGGGGGGATTTTTCCTCACAATAGTGGTGCCGAGTGTTTCTTTCTGCATCGACATGCGCAGCTTTCAGTTCGTCTTTCCCGGCTCCGCCCGGATCTTCACCTTTTTCTCGGGATTCCTCCTTGACTTTCACCTTCATTTTTGCCTGATCTACTACATCATGATCGCGTCGAAAGACGTGCCTATGGGAGAAAAAAAGTGCAGTTTGTTCACTGTGATGGTTTGGCAAAACTCTTCGCGCAACAAATTTGTTCCGCACACACCCGGTCTGCGGTGCATGGTTCCTACGGGAGGAGATGAACACCGGTTGGAATAAGGAAGTATCCGCTGTTGCATTTCTACTTAGCACGACAGAACGTTGTGCGCTATAGTCAACTGTGCATGACGCGTTCAATACAGTGACAGCTTTTTTTCTTGCGATAATGCAGACGGAATCGCATCCCCTTCTGCTTCGTCGCGTAGTAGGGTGGTTTCCGCGGGTATCCCAGGAAAACAGTGATACAATTACGCATGGCATTGCCGAACAAGCAACACCGACAAGCTCTCTCATGCGGGAAGGAAATGCTCCGGAAAAATTTGGTTTCATGCATGACAAGTGCTTTCTTTCGCTTTCCCTTTCGATTTTCGCATTGCAACTTTTTCGTTCTCATGTAGAGCTTTTTGTTGCTGAGTTTGAAATTCTTGTAACAAGTATGTAGCACTTCTTTCTTTGGATAGCGGGTGGTAGAAATCCACCCCGGGGGAAGGCAAAATCTCGCAGTCAACGCGGAAGTTCGGGTGAGCTCGATGCAGTTGCAGTTTTCTCATCGTGTTCGTGACAAGGGTTTCCGTGTGTGCAATATGCCTCGAGGAATCTTCGCTTCCTTCTCCCGACTTTGCGCTCGAGGTTGTCCTACTTGTCGCATCGGCTGCATCTATTTTGCCTTTACTTTCGGCTGCCCTGTTGATACCGACAAAGTTCGCCGCTTCGGCACGCCTGTCAGCTTCTGCAGCACGCTCGGTTCTTGCGCTGTCGTCTTCAACAACCGCGGACGACGTATCATCTGGCCGAGCTGGTTTCACTACGTCTGTGCTTGTTGAAGTAGATGATCGCTCTGCATTAATAATTCTTTCTTGTTCATTTGTTAGTTCAACCGCCGCGTTCTGGTTGTTTTCTTTCTGGGTTGTAGTTGTTTGAGCCTCTACTTCTACTTCTACATCTCGTCGGCCGTGATCAACATTCTTTTGCCGTGCGACTGGCGGCGACGGCGTTTTTTGTCGAAATTTTGCGAAGTACGGATAGAAGTGGAAATTCTGGCACACGGCGACCGGGTCCCGCGGGTCGCCGTCCTGGCCAATGAAGATCAAATCTCCGGCATCAAAGTGAAAAATCCCCCCACCCCATACTCAAACTAGAAATTTGTGATGCAGATTTGTGGCCACAAATCAGCTTTGTCACGCTAGAAGGGAAAAGATGCGGACTGTAGTGCTGGTTGGCGTGGGAAAGCCTTGCATCTTCAGCATGACAGGGAACAGCTGGAAGTGGGAAACAGCATGACCAATTGCCTGCAACCGAGGCCACAGCTGC